CGCCACCATTCCCTCCTCCTCACCTGCGGACAGACATCAGCACTGTCTTAACCTTCTCTATTTGTGGTTCCTCTAATGGGATTTGTGTGTTCCTGGCAAGCTTCCGAACACTCCCTTCTCTCTGTAACAAAAGCCCAATTGGGAGAGTTTCTGCCACCTGAAATTTAAATATTGACTAGGATATGCTTTCTGGAGCTGCCCAGAGTTCTGCTGAACAGAGTGTGTCTTAAAGGTGTGTCCCAGGGCAGACTCTCTCCTGTGCGCTAAGCAGCTGTCTCTTTCCTGCCCTGTTAGCTTTAGCTAGGAAGATACCTGGAGGATGGAGAAGATGGGCACCCTGGCTTGAGTAGTGCTATATCCCCTTCCCTTTTAGCTTGCCTTAGTCTCACTGGAGACCATTTTGAGACCAAGTGCTCACCTGTGCCCAGCAGGACAGGAATTTGCCATCTTCTCCTGAAAGCCCAGAGTTCTGTCTGGGGCTCTCAGGGGTCCTGTGTCTAGCTGTTCAGGAAATCTCAAGAAGCATTACCACTCTAGGTGTTAACTGAAATGAATTAAAAATTTAAACATTTACACCTGAATCCAGGAGGGTATTGGAAGTCATGCTTTCTCTGAGAGTAGATGAACCAGTCCGAAGTAGAGCCAGGAGGCTGTGCTAAGTAATCTGGACTGTTGATAGCCGTTTTCTGGTACGTGACATAATATGAGGGAACAAAACAAGCTCTATGCAGGGGAGCCCGTGCCCTCTGTGAAGAGCTGGCATCAGAGGCAGCTCCTGGAGAGAGCTCACTCCAGCAGCCCACTTGGGGCAGGTCCTCTGCCTCGTCCCTCTGTCCCCTGTCCCTCTGTCTTGGAATCCCTAGAGAGGGCCTCTCCTTTCCTGTACAGACTTCAGGCTAAATTGCCCTCCTGGGAAGATCCTATGGAAGATTCTGGTTTCCTTCCATGTTCTAAAGTGTACAACTAGAAGTAATTTGGGGCTTAAGGCTGTCATCTCTTTTGTTAGCTCAAAGTTGTCTTGTGGAGAAAAGATTCTCCAGGGGCATGGACTTCCTGAAGAGACCTGAGGCTTTGACACCTGATTTCTGAAACCTAGGGACAGTGGCTTCAGATGTCTGGTAATGACCATAGAAATGTCAGTGATTGGTAATCTTCAACTTAATTTTTCAGTGGAAGTAGAGCCCATTTCTGGACTGGATTAATAGATTGTGTCTAAGGTGCAGACTCAGTGAGTCTGCATTTAGTGTGTTCTGCCAACATGGTGAACTCCCAGGGTATTTTTTTTTTTTTTTTCCTTTGTAAAGTCACTTTCTTCTGGTGACCAATGTCACCATGATATCAGTAGTTGTTTGGGAATGGGAACAGTGTGTCTTAAGAATGACTGCATAGATCCTTGTCAGTGCACAGGATTCCTGTTGAAGAGGTGCTGCCATACCTAGTGTAGAAGCCTAGCTGTTGAACCATCTTATTACATTCCGTGTCACAGAACCTCCTAGCCACAATAATGGAGATGGATTTACCCTTTGATTTACAAAATATCATGTAAAGTCATTAAAATTGTGAAAGTCTATTTTTTCCCTGTAAATCTATTTTTCACAGAATATAAAAAACGTCAATGACCTGATCTGTCCTTCCTCCTCTTCCTCACTTTACCTGAGATCCTCATTCCTGTTTGTATTGTTTTTGTGTCCCAAGTAAACTAGGTGACTTATTTGTATAAAATGTTATTTTGCCACAGAGACAGTAATTAAAGAAAGATTTTCACAGTACCTCCACCCTGTCTTATCTCCTGACTGGGCCCTGGGCATTGCTGGGGTTCTGGGGTGGGGCAGGGGCGGTTTCCAGATTTCTCTTCTCTTGGTTATTACATGGGCTTTCTTTGAGTGAGCATAGCTGATTTCTAGGATGATGGGGGACAGTATGTGCTTTAGGTTGAATGATTTTGCTTTGTTTTCCAGGGTGCTTTGAGAATTGAAAATTTACATACACGTTTTAAAGACAGGCTTTTTCAGGTATATTCAACAGTAAAATTCACCTCAAGAACACAGTCTGGGGGCTGGGGTTGTGGCTCAGCAGTAGAGCCCTAGCCTAGCACGTGTGAAGCCCTGGCTTCAATCCTCAGCACCACATAAAAATAAATAAAAATAAAGATGTTGTGTCCAATTACAACTAAAAAAAAATATATTTTTTAAAAAGAATATAGTATGATGCATTTTGACAAAGGCAGTCTTACTGTCCCCACCAGTTTTGATAGAGGATACTTTCATCACACCCACTCCAGAGCTTAACCTTGAGTTCTGCATGCTTGAAGGCAGTTCTTTCCCCCTGCCTCAACCTCTTATAATCAGTCTGATTCTGTCTCTATTAGAAAACACGTGTGTGTGTGTGGGGCGGGTATTTTTGCTACTAGGAGTTTAAAGATGGGAACTATACCACTGAACTACAGTCCTAGTCTTTTTAAATTTTGAGACAGGGTCTTGCTAAGTTGTGTAGGCTGGTGTCAAGCTTGCAGTCCTCCTGACTCAGCTTCCCAAGTCATTGGGATTACAGATTTGTGCCACCACTCCCAGCAGAAAACTTGTGTACTCTTAAAATTTCTTCTTTTTTTTTTTTTTTGTAGATGGACATAATGCCTTTTATTTTATTTATTTATTTTTATGTGGTGCTGAGGCTCGAACCCAGTGCCTCAGATGTGCTAGGCAAGTGTTCTACCACTGAGCTACAACCCCAGCCCTCGTATATTATAATATAAAGCTCACCTATATTTATTGTCATAGCCAATATAATTTTAAAATAAGAGGCTGGGGGCATAGCTCAGGGGTAGAATGTGCAGCACAAGACCCTGGGTTCAGTTCCCATCAACAATAAATAATTAAGGGTTTGGTTTAGATGGTCAGGGACACCTGAAGCAATTGTTGCCCCCTGCTCACAAACATAATTCTTTTTTCCTTTTTCTCCTGCTTTTTTTCTTTTTTCTTTTTTTTTGTCTTCTACCCTGAGGCTTGTGCCTAGGTGGGTAGGATGACTGGAAGATAAAGAAAACCTCAATGTTTGTCAATGACAGTCATTTGATTTTAAAGCACCGTGGGGGCTGGGGATGTGGCTCAAGCGGTAGCGCGCCCGCCTGGCATGCGTGCGGCCCAGGTTCGATCCTCAGCACCACATACAAAGATGTTGTGTCTGCCAAAAACTAAAAATAAATATTTAAAAAAAAAAAAAGCACCGTGGATTGAGAGACTTTTTTTGTTTTGTTTTGTTTGCACTGGGGACTGAACCCAGAGGCTCTCAACCACTGAGCCATAGCCCCAGCACTTTGTATTAAAAAAAAAAAATTAGGGGGCTGGGGTTGTGGCTCAGCAGTAGAGCACTTGTCTGGCACATGCAGGGCCCTGGGTTCGATACAAATCAATAAAATTAAAGGTATTATATCCAATTACAACTAAAAAATAAATATTAAAAAAAATTTAGGTGCACACAATATCTTTATTTCATTTTTATGTGGTGTTGAGGTTTGAACCCAGTGCCTCATGAGTGCTAGTCAAGGGCTCTACTACTGAGCCACAACCCCAGTTCCACACTTTTTATTTTGAGACAGGCTCTAACACTCCCTAAGTGTGTTAGGGCCTCACTAAGTTGCTGAAGCTGGCTTTGAATTTGTGATCTTCCTTCTGCTTCAGCCTCCAGAGTCACTGGGATTACAGGTGTGTGCCACAGTGCCCAGTGGGAGACTTGCATTTTTTAAATTCATTTTTTAAAACAAAATGTTAAATACTAAGGACTTTGCTTGATTATTCTCTAGGAAGTGGAGCACAGGGTTTTTGGCATGTTGGGTCAGTACAGGGGTCAGATGCCTGGCTGAGTTATGGGAAGAAAGGCAGCTGGGGGGGATGTGTGGTTTCCTCCAGGGAGGCTGTGAAAGTCAGGTTGACTGTGCCAAGGGCAGTCGGTCTTGGACAAGTGACACCTTTATTGTTTCTGGAGCAGAGTATAGGTGTCCTGATAAGGATCCTAGGGATCAGATTCATACCTCTGCCCCCCAGGTGGGACATTGGACAGTAGAACAGAGAAGTTACACCCCACCTTCACCACCTCTGGGGGAAAGAACTCTCCCTGCGTATCCACTACGTTTCATGGGCCTAAATACTAACCACCAGAGAAAGACAAACCTTTGCTCCTCTTGAGGCCCAAGGAACTAGTGGAGGAGATGAAAAGATAATTTCAGATGTAAAGCATCAAGAATAAACGGATAGATGGAGAATATGCTCGGGAGAAAATCTGGCCTGCTGTGGACAGGGCAGCTTGGGTGAAAGGCAGGGGGACAGTGATTGCAAAAGCCCAACGAAAGAACAAACTGGAGTCTTAAGAGAAAAGCTGCCTACCTGCCTTCTGTGGCTGAAGCAAAGACGGCCAGGGAACTGTGGGGCTGCGCCTCAGAGGTGAGTGGGTAGGGTTAGGGCTTAGCGCGTAATGTCATGGGACTGGATTTTAGGAGAGATGGGTCCTTTGAAAAGGGGTTTTCAGGGGCTGGGGCTGGAGCTCAGCGGTAGAGCGCTCGCCTAGCACGTTTGAGGCCCTGGGTTGGATCCTCAGCACCACGTAAAAATAAATAAAATAAAGGTATTATATATATGGGGTTTTCAGCCGATGGCTGCTCTCATTTTGTCTGTTTGGAGGTGGGATCTCCGACGTTGCCTAGGTTGGCCCCTAACTCCTGGGCTTAAGCAATCCCCCTCCACCCCACTAGCTGAAACTACCCGGGCCGCCTCTGCACCCCGCTTTTGAGGGTTGCTTTCCTAGTATGCTTAAAAGACTACTGCGGCCTTTTTGAGAGATGCATCCTTGGTTCTGCCCTGTTATCAACGGCCAAAGGGACAGCAAGCTGACAGACTCGAGAACACTTAGCCTGCGCAGGAAATGATCATCCAATCTCCGGGCGCCTCGGCCCCTCCCCTGCCATCCGAGGGGCGTGGCCTCGGCGGTGGCGGCCCCGCCCCCCGCAGTCCGGAACCCGCGAGCTCACTGCCGGAGGTGGCGGAGATTCGCCCGCTTCTGCGCACGTCCATGGCCGCCGCGCTGCTCGCCCGGGCCTGCGGCCCCGTCCGCGGAGGTGAGTGTGCCTGGGCTGCGCACGCCAGGCCGTGGCCCCGGCCCGCCGAGGCGGCGTAGATTCAGTCAGCGTGTCCTGCCCAGCACGGGTGGACGGGCTGGCCACACCCGCTCAAGAAGGCCCGCGACCTTTGCCCCAGTTCAGCTGACCCTGGCGCCCGCCTGGCCTGACCCTTCCCCTGCTGCTGTCCAACCCCCAACCCCTGGAAGCCCCTACTTTCAACCCATTTCGCACAGCTTGCGCCTACACGCCTGCAGAGTCCCAGGTCCACCCTTCCTCTAGTGCCAGGCATGAGAACTACTTCATCAGTGACCTTGGACAAAACACTTAGTTCCTTGCAGCCTCAGTTGGCCTAAGTATGAAATGGCCACAGTGTATTACTACTATTCTCAGAATTGTTGGAAGGATTAAGTCACAGGGTTTATAAATTACTTAGTACAGTGTCTGGCACATAGCCGGTGTTCCTATGTAATGTTAATTGTTGACTATTTAATATAGTACCTTTCCCATCATATCATTTGTCTCCAGGTGTAGCAGCAGTGACACACATTTGGCTGAATCAGATTTGAACTGATCCACAGATCTAATAGATCTCTCCCTAATAACAATAAGGAGACCCCTTGATGGAGAACTATGCAAAGTGCAACTGTTAGTATTTCTTTAATCCTCCCTCTTGCAGGAGCTGAGGGTTATTGTTGCCCACATTTTATAGAAACTGAGGCTCAGGCTTAGTATGGTGGCTCATGTCTGTAATCCTAGCAACTCTGGAGGCTGAGGCAGGAAGGATCACTACTTCAAGAATAGAGCCTCAGCTACTTAGCTAGACCCCATCTCAAAAAGTGTGGGCGATATACTCAGTGGTAGAATGCTCCTGGGTTCAATCCCCAGTTCCAGGAAAAAAAAAAAAAAACAAAGAAAGAAAGAAACTGAGTGTTTAAACCCTCTTCTAAAGTCATGGAGTTGTAGTCTTATTATATTTGGTGTCATATTGAGCATTGAATAAAATGGAAGTGTCTGGAAAGTGTTTAGTTAGCTTGGGGTTTTTCCGCAGTAGCACTATTGCATTTGGGCTGACATTTTTATTTATGTATTTCTTTCTTTTTTTTTTTTTTAAAGAGAGAGAGAATTTTAATATTCATTTTTTAGTTTTCGGCGGACACAACATCTTTGTATGTGGTGCTGAGGATCGAACCCGGTCCGCACGCATGCCAGGCAAGCGTGCTACCGCTTGAGCCACATCCCCAGCCCTTTATGTATTTCTTTAGAGAGGATTCTTGCTATGTTGTCCAGGCTGGCCTCAAGTTCTTGGGCCCCAGTGATCCTCCTGCCTCAGCCTCCTGAGTAACCGGGACTATAAGAGCTCTGTCACCACACAAGCATGTTTGTTTCTTTCTTTCTTTCTTTTCTTCTTCTTTTTTTCTGTACTGGGATTGAACTTGAGGCTGGCACATACTAGGCAAGTGTTCTAAACAGAGGTACATCTCTAGCCTTTTTATTTTTTTGTCTTGAGACAGAGTCTTGCTAAGTTGCCTAGACTGGTCTTGAGCTTGTGATCCTCCTGCCTCAGCCTCCTAATTAGCTGGAATTACAGGCATGTGCCCCCCTCCCTAGCTCCATAATTCTTTCTTGTGGGGGTTGTCATGTGCATGGTAGGAACTCTGGCCTCTGCCCACTGGATACCAGTAGCATTTCTCCTTTAGTTGTAACAACCCAAAATATATCCAGACGTTGCCAGATGTCCCTTGGGGATCAAAATTTTCCCTGATGGAGAAGCTCTTAGTGAGTGGATCATGATTATTGTTATTAACAATTATTGTTGCTATTATTATTATTCAAGATCTCTTTCATTCTCTTTCTACTGACTCCTGCTATGCCTGCTGGCAGCTCTCCATACTCGGGTGTGGCGGAGGTTGCACACTATCTACCAGTCTGTGGAACTGCCTGAGACACACCAGATGTTGCGGCAGACGTGCCGGGACTTTGCTGAGAAGGAGCTGTTTCCCATTGCAGCCCAGGTGGACAAGGAACACCTTTTTCCGGCTGCTCAGGTGAGCGCACCAACCACAGCAGCCCATTTTGGCCATCTGTCCTCAGATGACTGGTTACAGTGGGGGAGAGGTGACAGTGACAGCCAGAGTCTCTAAGAGTCAGGGAACCTCAAAGGAAGGCATGGGACCCCAGAAATGCTCTGAGTTCACCATGAGGCCTTTAACCAGGATTCTACTTCTAGAACAATACTAATCGATAACAGGTGGTCAGTATGCTTTAATGCTCACAGGATGGTGGCCATGTGCCTTCCTCACAAGGGTCCTGTGGGGCAAAGGTGTTATTATTATATCCCCATCGTAGAGCTGAATGAGGCTCAAGTTTATGAGCAGGTTAGATAATGTACCCAAGGTCATGAAACTAATCAGCTGCAGAGTTAGGTCTTTGTCCCAGGTCTCACTTCTCTCAAGCCTTGAGAACCCCACCAATAAGTGCCTTCCCATGTTCTATTTATGCTCAGTCCATATGCAATGAAATGTTTAAGCTGTTACCAGTGCATCCCTTGACCTAGCAAGATGGCAGGAAAATGGTATAAACACTTAATAGGTACTTGTTGAATCAGTGGTTTGTGAAAGTACAAGTGTTGGGCGCTAATCACATGCCTGTAATCCCAGCAACCTGTGGAGGCTGAGATAGTGGGATCACAAATTTAAGGCCAGCCTCAGCCATTTAGTGAGACCCTAAGCAACTTAGTGAGACCTTGTCTCAACATAGAAATATAAAGGGCTGGGAATGTGGCTCAGTGGTAAAGCACCCCTGGGTTCAATCCCTAGGACCACCCCCCCCCCCAAAAAAAAAAAAAACCCCAAACAAATGTTTCTTGCCTGTTTTTCAGTCAGAGTAATTTCAGAGTTGTGGTCCCCATGTACATGTCCTGCAGGTGCTGGAGCTGCTCTTCCAGCTTAATGAATGTGGTCATTATATTGGGCACTGTGCCCGGACGGTGGGAAGACCCAAGGAGCTCCAAGCTCCTTGTGAATACACAAGTGGCATTCTGGGTACCAAAATCAGCTGGGCATTTTGTAGGTATTAGACATGTCAACTCCTTTAATCCTGAGGAAATCCCTACTTAATCTAGTCTCCATGTTGCTTTCTGGAATGATTGCCATGATGAAGTGAGATCACGTTTCACGGATGCCTGGTACCTGGTACTTGAACAATGGTAGTTATTAATATGATAGTTGTTATTTTCATTACTCTGCCACGCAACCAGCGCTGGCTTCATGAAAGAAGGTTCAGTTCATAAGTAATTGCTACGGAGTTTTAAATTAAAGAGACAAGACTCTCATTACCTTTAATACCAGCTCCAGGATGGCTTCTCCTAGCTCCCACCTCCAGCCACCTAATGCGGTGGCAAGGTTTACAGAAGAGACTAGTGAGAGAGAGAGAGAGAACACGCCAGGGAGTGGGCTTTTATTGGGGAACAAAAAATTCCAGGGAAAATCCCATCCAATGAAGGTTAAGGGGGGCAGCATCCCAAGGTCAGGGGCGACGATTGGGTCTTCAGGGCAGTGGCCAGGCACGCCTCTGCACAAGCCCTTGGACCTGGGAAAGGGTGGGGAATAGCTCTGACAAAGCTAAGTGCCTCTCACTCAGCCAGGGAGGTAACTCAGTTCACATGCGAGGATGACCTCCTACACATTACCGTTGAGAAAACTGAAGCCTAGAGAAGGGAAGTGACTTTCCTTCCAAGGTTTGCTGGTGTTGCTAGGCTTCACAACCCAAGTCTGGCTGGCTCCAAAATCCTTCCTTCACCATCCGTGTGGTTGTCCCAGAGGCCCAGCTGGCAGGCAGGGAAGCCCCATGCTAGTTGGGAATAGTGCCATCTAGACTGCCTGGTCCCTGCCCTGCCATACTCACCACACACATACTCTCAGTGACCTCGACTTTTAGTGCCTTTGTGGAGATGTGCAAAAAGGCAGATTCTTGGTGAGGGGAGATACAGACGGGCCTGGTGCAACAGCAGCAATTTAGGCCTTCAAGTCCTAGCTGTGTGTTGGAATCTTCCTGCCAAGTGACAGATGGCCTGGTTTATTTTTCCTATATTGTGCTCTCTCAAATTATTACCAGTATCACAAATGTAGATATTTGCTCTGTGCAAAACAACTGATGAGAGAAGCAAAACCTTTTACGAGCCTATTCTTAACTAGTTCTCTGGCTTTGTGCTCTCATGCTTGCTCTGTGGGGATGGGGACATTGCAAATTCATCCTTCCAAATTGTGGCAGTAATGGGGCTTGGAGGAGATAAGGGACCACAGCCTCTCTTCCTTCTGGCATGTGGGAGGGGACTCGGGAAAGATTTCCTCAGGGCATGAGGGTAGCTGAGTGGGTGATAGCATCCCTGTTTGGTTTTATTATGTACAAGGTGTTTGCATATCTGTGACCTCTTTGCTCTCCTTTGCCTCTGTTTGCAGGTGATATGTGTATTCTCTCTGGTTGTAGAGCTAGGGAGGAGGAGTGCCAGGCCTTCTGATCTGGCCAGTGTACCACATGAGCTAGGCACTTGTTTGGTGGCTGATGGATGCATGGGTTATTCCTCAATGTTTGCTTCTCTCATCTATGGCCTAACACTTTTTGCTTTTATCCCTGTTACTGTGTATGGTGCCAAGCGCCCAGTAATAGAAGGTAATTCAGGATAAGGCAGGCAGAAGACTCAAACAACTAGACACACAAAAATCATATGGCATATCTGCAGAATTCTATATTACACATGAATGTTTCAAAATCATAATAGAAGCAGCTGGTAGTGTGGCTCAGTGGTAGAGCACTTGCCTAGCTTATGCAAGGCCCCGGGTTCCATCCCCAGCATCACAGACACATAAAAACCAAAAAACCCAAAATCATAATAGTAATAACATCGGTAGCCAACATTTGGAGGCTTGTATATTCCAGGTGTATATCCATATATTAACTTATTTAATATTTAAGACTACAGGATAAGTAAGCACTTAATTATCTCCAGTTTTCAGATGAGGAAACTGGAGCCAGAGGGTAAGTTTCTTACCCAATAGTGGCACCGTTGGTCGGTGAGAAGCCAGCAACTGGCTTCGGAACCACCCCCTGCCTACAATTTCCTTAGTGATTTCTGGTATTTTTTCCTAAAGAATTTTTGTTCCCCCAGAAAAGGAGACTTATGAGGGAAGGGTCAAGGGGAAAGGAATTGCGAGGAGGTTAGTCCAAGAATTAGGAGAAAGGCTAGGGCCAATTGGTGATCAGTGTGGCTAGTTTTGTAACCTTAATTGATCTTTAGTCTTTTTATGTGCAAACCAACAAGTGAAAGAAACAATTATGAATTCATAATGCCATTTTGCTATAAAGGGGATTAGGAAACAGAATGGTATCCCCAACAAATTTTTGACTTCTTAACCTTGAATATGTATTTATGTGTATAAAACTGAAGCCACTTTCGTCTCATTCACTTGGTGAATTATGATTGAATAAAGCAAAACCTGCTTTTCCTCCTCTTGCTTTGTCTCATATAATGGTAAAGCCACATAGAAACTTCTAGATCACACTCCATTTTTCTTCTCCCTCCTGCCCACTGACTCTTATTAATTCCACCTGGAAATGTTGTCCTGCCACCTTCTCTCATTTCTTCCAACCAGAACTTATTTCTCTGTCCCAAGGGCATTTCATTTGTAATTCATAATCCTCTGTGTTCATCACATTACATGTATTTTTTTTGTTTTTTAAGTCCCAAGGATCAATCAAATGCATCAGTCTCTATCATTGAGGCAAATCGCTAGCCATTTTTATTTTGTATTTTGAGACAGAGTCTCACTAAGTTGCTGAGGCTGGCCATAGTCGTCATCCTCCTGCCTCAGCCTCCCAAGTTGCTGGATTACAGGCTTGTGTCACCATGCCCAGCTTGCATATGTCTTTTTTTTTTTTTTTTTGTAGATAGACTCAATATCTTTATTTATTTATTTTTATGTGGTGCTGAGAATCGAACCCAGGGCCTCATGCATGTGAGGCAAGCGCTGTACTACTGAGCTACAACCCCAGCCCTGCATAGGTCTTTTAAAGAATATATTCTTATTTTTAATTGACACATAGTAATTGTACATAGTTGTGGGACACAATGTAACATTTCTATGCATATATGCAATGTACCATGATCACATCAGGATAATTGCCCCATCTGTCCCCTCAGACATTTGTTATTTCTTTGTGTTGGGAACACTCAAGGTCCGCTCTGGTGGCTGTTTTGAAATATTTAATTATTGTTGTCGTCAACCATAGTTACCTGATCCTTCTGTGCTGTGTGTCCCACATCAGTTATTTCAGACAGCTTCCCGAGGGCAGAGTCCGGCACTTGTTCTTACTCTTGTCCTCTGTCACTGTGACACCTTGTCGGTAGTAAGTGCTCAGCAGTCAACAGATGCCTATAGGGTTTTGTTGAATTAAGCCAAATTGGGCACCTGTTGGATAAGCGCCAGCTCCTGGCCTCCTCATCATCCCGGCCTGTAATCCACACACAGAGCAGCATCTGGAGGAGGGGCTGGGGGTGGAACCCGGGCCTCTGAACTGCTAGGCAAGAGTTCCACCAACAAGCTGCATCCCAGCCCCTGGGTTTTATCTTGAATTAGTGGCAACTCTTCAGCAAGGTAGGATATGTTATTTTTTAAAGGAAATTAGTTTTTGCCGGGCACGGTCGCACATCCTGTCATCCCAGCAGCTCTCGAGGCTGACACAGGAGATTGCTAGTCCAAAGCCAGCCTCAGCAACGGTGAGGCCCTAAGCAACTCAGTGAGGCCCTGTCTCTAAATAAAGTACAAAATAGGGCTGGGGATGGGGCTCAGGGGTCGAGTGCCCCTGAGTTCAATCCTTGGTACCCCCCCATCCAAAAAAAAAAAAAAAGATAATTAGTTTAGTGAATAAGGTGTGCCTAGAATTAATTCAGTATTTTTAAAATGCCAGTTTAGATGAGAAGTGCCTTGAAGCATTGTTTTGATAGAAGTCCGTCCTTCCTTCCTTCCTTCCTTTTTTTTTTTTTCTTTCTTCTTCTTCTTTTCACTTTATAAAGAAAAGAGGTTTGTTTAGCTCACAGTCCTGGAGATTCAAAGTCCAAGATCGGGTAGTGTTGTTTGGCTTCTGGCAAAGATGTGCCCAAACAGGAAGGTCGAGGGTGAAGTGCCCTTTAAACACTCCCAAACTCGCGGCAGCAGGTGCTGGAGGCTGAGTGGTATGTGGGCTGCTGGAGGAGGGCCTCCCCTGGTTTCTTTGGGGAGTGTGGAATCCGCCACACTGGGCACCCTTGGGGGCAATAGCCTCTCTCTAAGGTGCAGGTCCAGTTGCTGGTTCTCTGACACAAGGGACCAAGAGCCACACTGTGGCCACTCTGGGAGGTTGTCCTTGAGAGGGCCCTGAGGGTCAGGCCTCTCTGTGAGAAATGCTGAAACCAGGGCTGCCTGGCCCGCCAGCAGTCACCCCACTCACCCGCTGACCCCGCGTCCCCCCACCGCACTCTTTTGTTTTGGTTTCTTCTTTTCGTTCATGTTGTCTCCTCTCTGTCACCCTCTCTTTCCCTCACTGCTGGTCTCCTGTCCCTTTTTCAGGATGCCCTTTAATGAGAGCATATTGTCAGCTGTATGGTTTCCATCCCCAGCTTTTTTTCTAGAATGTTCCTGGGGCTGGCCACAGCACGCTGCCTGAGATGTAGAGATCCATGTCAGATGGCGAGAGGCCAGGCAACCCGCGCTCCCTGATGAAGTGGGGTGGCTGGGTGGACACAGGCTCGGGGGTGGAGCGTTCTCCCTTTGGCCAAGGGAGTCGATGTTTGTTTGTTCTAGGGCAGTCTCTCTCTCTCTCTCTCTTTTTTCTGGTGCAGGGGATGAAACCCAGGGCCTTGTGCATGCAAGGCAAGCACTCTACCAACTGAGCTATGTCCCCAGCCCTTCTAAACAGCATGAGCTATTTTAGCCTCAGTCTCTTGCTGGGAGGCAGGAGAGAGAGCCTTTCAACAAGGTTCCTGTGAGGGTTGGACGGGAGTCTTAAGAGCCTTGCACATTCTAGAACCTAGAATGCAGGGTCCAGCAGCAGAGGCATTCCATAACAAACCTCTTTTGTCACCTGAAAAGAGGTTTGCTGGGTGCCTCGAGTGTGGGCTAGAGAGGTGCTGTGTCCGGAGCCACATTTGTGTCAGCACTGTGCCGTCTCCACATTCTCTGCACAGTAAAAAAAAAACTGCAGAAACCATCCTTGACTTTGAACTTGCCTGCTCCCCAGTTGATTCCTGCCTGTTGAAATGATGTTCATTTCTGGCCAGGCACAGTAGTGTGCTTTTGTCATCCCAGTGACTCAGGAGGCTGAGGCAGGAGGATTGCAAGTTTGAGGCCAGCCTCAGCAACTTAGACAGTGTCTCAAAATTTTAAAAAAGGCTGGGGATATAGTTTAGTGGCAAAGGACTCTGGGTTAACTCTTCAGGCTCTCCTCAAATAAATATTTCTGAGTAGGATCATACCCCCTCCCCCAAGTGTTTGGTGGTCACAGAATGACCAGGGATTAGGATGTGGATATCTGTGGAGGCTGCCCTTGTGCCACCTGCACCCTGGCCATCTTCTTCCTTGCATGTGTCCACTTTGGGGACTGCAGAGCTTGATCAGCACCTGGGGTCAGCACAGTGCAGACAAGTTTATGCCCCACTCATATTATGCAGGGTAGACCTGAGGTGTGGAAGCCTCACCCCACCCCAAGTTTTGAGTCTTGCAAGAGAGTTTCCCAGGGAACAGTCCAAGGAAGAATCAAGCAGGCAGTTTCATAGAGGACAAAGATTGTCACAGAAGTCAATCCCAGCAGGTTGAGAGGTACCCCTTCTCCTTGTGTCATGGTAAATAAGAACTCTCAGCCCCCTGGTGACACTAAATGCTCATCAATCTCAGAACAAACCTGTGCAGTAAGTACTGTTTTTTGGGGGGAAGAGGAATGAAAACTTTCAGAATCCAGAACTAAGATTAATTATAGAAAAAGAAGAAAAGACCCACAGGCCTTGTTCTTAGTTTATTCCTTTAAGTGAAATGGTAAGAAAATGGTTATAAGAATGCGTCAGTATCCCTGGAGTCTGCACCCGTGGATTCAGCCAACCTAGGATCAAAAATATTCCAAAAAAGAACTCCGCCTCTTTCTGAACATGTCCACCTGTTTTCTTGTCATTATTCCCTAAATGATACAATATAACAACTGGGTACAGAGCATTTACATTATAGTAGGGGTTCAGAGTCATCTAGACATGGTTGAAAGTTTCTGGGAGAGAGCTGGGGATGTGGCTCAGGGTGGTGTGTGACCTGGCCTACACAAGGCCTAGCATCTGTTAATCAACCCGTCAGTTTATCAGTCAACCCATTTCCTCCATGCTGTAGAGATAAGACACCATTTTATACGAGAGACTTGTGCTTCTTTGGGTTTGATATCTGCAGGGCGTCCTGGAACCAGTCCCCTTTGGATGCCAGAGGGTGACCATAGGAGAGGGTTCATCAAAGCACTTCCCCTTCCTCCCGCTCCCTGCGTCTCAGAGGCACCTGGTTTTGGTTGTTTCTCCCTGAAGTTAGGTAGGTTTGTTTGTGGTCCGCATCTCAGGTGCACAGCAGCCTTTGGAAAGGTTAAGGGATTTGTCATAGGTTAGCAGGGGCAGAGCTGGGCAGTATGATAAGCTAGTTAAGATTCTGTGCCTTGCCCAGGTTTCAGTCCCAACCATAACTTACATACTCTGTGGCCTGGAGCAGATTCCTTAACCTCTCTGAACCCAGTTTTTTCAGTTGTACTAAAAGGCTAACATGAGCATTGTTTCACATAACTTCTGAGAGACTCAAATGAAGCAGTACACATAAATCACTTAGGTACAGAATTTGGCATACAATAGGCACTTGATATTAATAATTACTATTATTATTATTGTGATTATTCCAAATAAAAAAATCCTAAACTCTTATCATCCCTTCTTTCCTTTTACTGGCATTGGGTATGTAGCAGTGAGGAAAAACAAAGTCCCTGCCCCTCATGATCAAAGAGAGAGGCCTTAGTCAGAACGAGCACATTGATAGACCTGAAATTCTGGCTGCAGAGCTATTGTGAGGGTGTTGCAAGAGCGTGAGATCAGGAGAGGAGAAGCCTGACACGGTGGCGCATGCTGTCATACCAGCGGTTTGGGAGGCTGAGACAGGAGGATCACAAGTTCAAGGCCAGCCTCAGCAACTTATCGAAGTGCAAAGCAACTCAACGAGACCCTGTCTCTGAATAAAATATATTAAAAAAAAAAAAAGGCTGGGAATGTGGCTCTGTGGTGCGGCGGGGTTCAACCCCTGGTACCAAAAAAAAAAAAAAAGGAAGAAAAGAACAGAAGGCGAGGAGGAGAAAAGAACTAGTCTGTCGAGGGCGTTGCTGACGTGTGACTTGGGAAACAGCACATGCCAAGGCGGATGGCGGGGAGAGGAGCACAGGTGTTTGCTGCGCACCTCCGGGAGTGAGGGAAGGTTGGGTGGGCACAGTGCTGCCCTGCTCCTCACCTTGGAGTCCCCTAAAAGCTTTCTGTGCCTGGCGGGGGAGGCCCCTCCCTGGACTCAGGGACCTGGCCAAGTGTTTGCCCCGGGGCAGGTGGAGTGGGGGCTGGGGGCTGGCCTCACTCTCTCCTCCTTGCCCTGGGCCAGGTGAATAAGATGGGTGAGCTGGGACTTCTGGCCATGGACGTGCCCGAGGAGCTGGGTGGTGCCGGCCTCGACTACCTGGCCTATTCCATTGCCATGGAGGAGATCAGCCGCGGCTGTGCCTCCACCGGAGTCATCATGAGCGTCAACAATGTGAGGCCCTCCTGGGCTCCCGGGACCTGCAGGTTGCGGGAGGCTCCCGTGGGTGGGCAGGACCCTGCCAGGGAGCAGCGGCCAGTGGCCAGCCTAGGCTCCCAACCCTCGCCTCCCTGGAGTAGCCTCTGGACTTTGTCCTGTGGAGTGGACCTCTGGAGACCGCAGGCCACTGGGAGGCCTCTGACAGGCCTCTGACCGCTGCCTGCTGTCCTCCCAGTCTCTCTACTTGGGGCCCATCATGAAGTTTGGCTCTGCAGAGCAGAAGCGGCAGTGGGTCACACCTTTCACCAGTGGTGACAAAGTTGGCTGCTTTGCCCTCAGCGAACCAGGTACTGTGGGCTCACTTCAGAATCAGGTGACACCTGGATGGGAGCTGGGGGCCCCTGGGAGAGGCAGGGACAGAGCCTGTGCTGCTGGACCAGGTGCAGCTCCCTGTCCCACGGCCAGAGGGAAGGCCCTGTGGGCAGCGGAGGCCATTTGCCGGGGAAGGGAATGCTGCTGCCCCTGGTGTGCAGGGAGGACTTGGCTTGGGGTCCTTCCGGCTTGGAGGCTGGGCCTGAGTCTGTGTGTGGTGCAGGGAACGGCAGCGATGCCGGAGCCGCCTCCACCACAGCCCGGGCCGAGGGCGACTCGTGGGTCCTGAATGGCACCAAAGCCTGGATCACCAATTCCTGGGAGGCTGCAGCCACCGTGGTCTTTGCCAGCACAGACAGATCACTGAAGAACAAGGTGGGCCAGGCTGGCAGGGCCCTGGACTATTGTCCTTTTGTTTGAGACCCTCCTGGCCTGTGCCTGCTCTGGTGGGGCCTTCCCTCCCCCTGGAATCCGCACCTCCTCCCACCAGGACAGCAGAGGGGGTGGGAGCCCCAGGCTGCGTTGGCTGTCTTGGTGCATCCAGCCTGGCAGCCTCACGAAGCCTCTTGGGGCCTTCCAGGGCATCAGTGCCTTCCTGGTTCCCATGCCAACTCCTGGACTCACGTTGGGGAAGAAGGAGGACAAGCTGGGCATCCGGGCCTCATCCACGGCCAACCTCATCTTTGAGGACTGTCGCATCCCCAAAGAGAACCTACTGGGGGAGCCAGGGATGGGCTTCAAGATAGCCATGGTGAGCCTGGCAGTGGGCAGTGCCCTGGGGCCAGGCCCTGGGCCCCGCTGCACAGCCACTGACAGGCAGGCGGTCCCCACAGCAAACCCTGGACATGGGCCGCATTGGAATTGCCTCCCAGGCCCTGGGCATTGCCCAGGCCGCCCTCGACTGCGCTGTGAACTATGCTGAGAACCGCCAGGCCTTCGGGGCGCCCCTCACCAAGCTCCAGGGCATCCAGGTATAGGTATGGGGCCAGGGCGGTGTCTTTCGCAGCTGGGTCTGGAGCCAGGGGCCTCTTTCTGGTCCTGCGTCTTCCTCCCTCTCGTCCCTGTCCTTGGAGGGAAGAGATGTACTTGCTGATGGAGGGGGCTGGGTTGTTGCAGTTCAAGCTGGCAGACATGGCCATGGCCCTGGAGAGTGCCCGGCTGCTGACCTGGCGCGCTGCCATGTTGAAAGATAATAAGAAGCCCTTCACCAAGGTGCGTGTGGGGTGGGGACACAGGGTACCCTCTGAGGGAGGTGTCGGGTGGGTCTCTGTTCCTTGGCCCCCTGTGGTCAGAGGGGTGGGCCTGTGGGGTATTGTGCAAAGGGTCTCCCACAGGTTCGCCCCTGCTGCAGGGCTGTGGAGTGGGGGGCTCCCCTTCAGGGGAGGTTGCTGACTGACATCCCGCTGGTTAGGAGGCGGCCATGGCCAAGCTGGCTGCATCGGAGGCCGCTACAGCCATCAGCCACCAGGTGAGCGTCCAGGTGCTCCCCTCCTCCTGGGTGCAGGGCCCTCCCCATCTTCACCTCCTGAGCCCCTGCTTTCTGTCTTAGGCCATCCAGATCTTGGGCGGCATGGGGTACGTGACAGAGATGCCCGCTGAGCGCCACTACCGTGACGCCCGCATCACTGAGATCTATGAAGGCACCAGTGAGATCCAGAGGCTTGTGATTGCTGGGCACCTGCTCCGCAGCTACCGGAGTTGAGCCTCTGAGGGACCAGTGCCCAGCTGGCAGCGCCACGTGCCTCACCTTGACTCCAGGCAGACCGTGGGCGGGCACCTGCCTCTGCAGGCTCCCCGGCTCCCTGCTCCACAGATCAAAGTAAATCTCAGGGAGAGGACAGGCCAGCTGCCGTGGCCTGTGTCTGAGGACACATCCATCATCAGCGTGGATCCTGGGTCCTGATGCCCCTTCTGACCGACTGTGCCTCATTTTCTAACCCTGAGTGGCCATGGCCTCCTGCAGGCAGGACCTTGGGGAGGGCTAAATGACACAGTGGCACCCCAGTGCCGTCCTGTGGACCCTGTACCTGGGCATGGAGACTCAGGAGGGACAGGCTCTCCCCAGGGTCAGGGCCCAGGAGGAGCAGGTGGGTGCCTTAGCAGCTGTGGTCAGGCCCTGGGGTCCCTGGCTGGGAAGGACTGCAGGGCTGGGTTATGGAGCCGCCTCAGGTCCGGGTGGGTACAGTGTGTGGCCTTCTGGTCGTGTGGGGACTGACTGCTAATAAAGCCTACCTGTGCCCTCCCCGCCTGTGTCCTTGTCCTCCCTGGTGAGTCTTTTGTCCGTGTGGTCCCTGCTGTCGTCAGCAGACCCCACCCTGCATGTGGTAGGCCACTGGTCTTGGAAAGCCCCAGGCTTGGGGGGTCGGGCTGCTCAAGAAGGCTCAGGAGAACCAGGAGCCTCTCTGACGTCACATCCAGTGCCAGCAGGGAGGCCTCCCAGGGATTGTTGGGGGGGTCCCTAGGCAACCCCTGTCCACAACCACAGATGAGGGAGGAGCAAGACTCTTGAGGGTGGGGGACCCAGGTGGGTGGAATCAGACTGGGAAGGCAACTTTTGGGGACTGGGGTGGTGGCTCAGTGGCAGAGCACTTGCCTAGCACATGTGAGACATTGGGTTTGATCCTCAGCACCACAGTAAAGGTCATCGACACTAAAAATATCTTTTTTTTTTTTTTAAAAGGCAACTCTTTTTGCTTAGTGTTTGAATGCTCCAGGCACTGCCCCCACTGAGCCAGCCTAGGAGAGGGACTTGCCAGGGTCCCAGTGCCCTGCTGGGCAGGATCTGGGCATGGGTGCCTGATTTAGCTGCTTGGGACAATGTTGTATGTGACTGAGAATCTGGAGAGAGAAGCGCAACAAAGCTCTCAAAGGAGGCGGGCCAGCTCTGCCGTGGGAAGGGCAGGGAGGCCAGCTGTCACTGCAGGGGGTTCTCTGGAGGGCACACAGAGGGAGAACGATGACCCTTTTGAAGCCTTTGTCCACGGGCTGCTGAGCACTCCAAAGCCCTCACTGCTTATGGACTGCAAGGGGCCTGCCTACAGTTCCTGCCCTTGGCCACCTGGGCCTGTGGCTCCCACGTGCAAGGCCTGCGCTGCACACCTGCAGCCCAGCAGCGGGCAGGAGAAGGCCTGTGGGCCAGGCCCGGGGAGGAGGAGCTTCTTGTGCAGATTTAGGTCCTGATTTCCCGCACTGCTCAGGTGGGCTCTGTGGGCAGGGCGTGCACCTTGGCTCCTGCGGGGTGCTTCCTCTCATGCGTTGAGGGCAGGCGGCCTCCTGGGGGCTTGCAGAAGTTTGGGGATCTGTCCTCCTCCTGGTTCCAGGTGAGTGCCCACACCCATGGGTCTCCTGTGCTTTTTTCCACTGGGCTCTACAGGTGTGGAGCAGAGGGGGCTTCAGGGTGTCTCCCAGGGTGACTCTTCAGGGTGACTCTCCCGCCCTAGGGGCAGATGACAATCTGTCACTCCCTGGGTGGGGGCCCTGTGACCTGGGAACGGTGGAGATAGGGTGGTCAGAGAAGGCTCCTTGGTCTCTAGCGGGTGGTGCTGGCTCTTGGCCCAGGAGTGGTAGAGGACACGGCCTTGAGGGAAGCAGTTTGGGGGATGGTCCTCTAGGTGGCAGGGGAGGGGGAGGTGTGAGGCTCAGAGAGGAGCAGGGGGTGCCCAGACTGAACCTGGGCCCTAGGCAGAGGCAGCTGGTCTGGAGGCCCAGCTGACCTCTCTCAGGACTCTGGCCATACCTGATTGGTGCTCAGGCCCTGAGGGTCCTCAGGGTCACCAGCTCTACCCTCTGAAAAGTATCTTGAGTGTTGAAGGTGGTGACAGCCAGCCTGAACCAGGCTGTGCCCAGCAGGGAGAGGGCATTGTCCAAGAGGTAGTCGCAGGTTCCTACTTCCAGGCCTGTGTGGACCTCAGAGCAAAGGGCTGGCTTTGGAAGTCAAGTGTTGTCCATTTGTGGATGAAGGAATTGAAGCTCCAAAGCCAAGATCCAGTTGTGTGCCCCAAGGAGCCGTCCTGAGTCCCCGGTCTGTCCCCTCTCTTCTGGGAAAGAATCAACACACGAACCTGTGACTTCCGCCAGGTACTGGCCTGTTTGCTGAAGCTCCCGCTTAATTAAAACTAAGTTCTAGACTGCACCCCTGAGCCTGTTTGAACCTAACTATTGGAGAGTCAGTTGAGACATGCGCCTTGGCATGTGTTTCCAAGAGCAAGGACGCTCACCTGTGTAGCAATGGGACAATCACCCAAGCTGTCCAAGCTGCAGACATACGATCAGATTTTACCAATTGTCTCAATGTCTTCCAGGTGATGTTTTTCAAGGTCAGGCCCAGGCATTGCCTGAAGTTGAGAGGTCACCTGTCTCCTTCGCTCTAGGGCAGCTCCCCAGACTGCGACCCGTGTTCACGACTTTGGCATTTTAGAAATGGCCAGGCTGGTGGTTTGTAGACTGTCAATCTAGATTAGGCCGATGGTGTCCTCACAATTAGCTGCACTGTGTGTATCACTGGCAAAAATCCTATAGCTGTGACTCTTTGACGCCTGACAGAGCATTTGGATTTTATCCTTAATCTCCTGAGAGCTGACAGTTTTATTAGTCTTATAAATTATATTCATCTTTGTAAAGGCAGTCTAATTGTTGGCTTTATTAACACTTAATATTTGGTTTTGGGGCTGGGCTCAGTGGTAGAGCACTTGCCTAGCACGTGTGAGGCACTGGGTTCGATCCTCAGCACCACATGTAAATAAATAAATAAAGGTCCATCAACAACTAATAAAATCTTTTTTAAAAATTCAATATTTGTTTTTTAAATTGTATTCAATAGTTCTAATGCTTCCTTCTATGTTTTGTTTTTGTGGATTTTTTTAAAATTTTTTTTGTGGTTGTAGATGGGTTGCATGCCTTTATTTTTTTATAATATATATATATTTACCTTTATTTGTTTATTTTTATGTGGTGCCTGGAATTGAGCCCAGTGCCTTGCACATGCTAGGCAAGCACTCTACCACTGAGCCACAGCCACAGCCCTTTTTGTAATTCGATTTTTTTTTTTTTTTCATGATTTTTGTTTTGGTTTTTGGTGGTGCCCGGGTTAAAACCAGGGCCTTGGATACGCTAGGCAAGTGCTGGCTCTGCCACTAAGCTGTCGCCAGCCCTGATTTGCTTTTCCTTTCCACCTTCCTAGGCTGGCTGCTGTTGATTGCTTTTGTTCTCTTTTCTAATAAATGAGTTAAAAGTTCCACATTTCTTTCTAAGTGTGACTTTCCCTTCATCTCACAAATTTCGAATGTCATATATTCTTTATGACTTGGTTTTCTAGGTTCCATATACTTTCTCCTGTATTAGTTATTTAGAGGACTTGAGGTATTTTTTGTTACTGATTTTTAAAAAAATTATGATGAAATTGATCACACACACCTGTCATCCCAGCAGCTCGGGTGGCTGAAGCAGGAGGATCAAGTTCAAAGTCAGCCTCAGCAATGGCGAGGCCCTAAGCAATATAGGCACTAAGCAGTTTAGAGGCCCTGTCTCTAAATAAAATACACAATAGGGCTGGGGATGTGGCCCAGTGATCAAGTGCCCCTGAGTTCAATCCCTGGTAACCGTCCCCCCCAAAAAATATTTATTTCTTTTTTTTTAAAATATATATATTTTTAGTTGTAGTTGGACACAACACCTTTATTTTTATTTATTTATATTTATGTGGTGCTGAAGATGGAAATCAGTGCCCTGCACGTACCACAACCCCAGCCCTCAAGTTTAACTATTTCAAAGTGCAATTTAGTGGAATTTAGGACATTTACAATGTCTAATTTGTCAAAAGGAAATTCTATACCCATGGTTACTGATGTCTACCTCGATTGTATTATGGACTCAAAACATTTTCTGCAGTATCTAAATTCTTCAAAATTCATTGAAATTTGCTTCAGGAGCCCAAGTTACTTTTCTATGAAAAGTGAACATGTTTCAAAGATTTTTTTTCCCATGTTGGTACATGTAGCTTAGTTCATTTGCTTTGATTGCTGCATGAAGTCCCCTCGTGTAAACATACCATATTGAAGTTATTCCCAGTTTTTCACTGTTCTAAACCATGAATATTCTGGAATGTGTCTCCTTGCTCATGAACTTCTCAGCATTTAAGTAGAAGTGAGCTCACTGTGCCATAGGCATCTGGCTTCTTTACCAGATATCACTAAAGTGCCCTCCGGGCTGATTAGACCAGGAGGGGTCCCTCTGACAGTGTTCAAGACTATCCCTTACAGGTTTTCTGCAGTCTGGTGTGACTGCACATCGTCTCAGTGTTGATTGACCATTCTGCGGGAATTGCCATCCGTGTCTCGTGTTTCTTCCTTACTGATTGGCAAGTGTCCATGGGTAGACCTGAACTCATTTATCAGCTGTAGAGTTGCAAAAAGACCTAGAGTGTGGCTTTCCCTTTTTAAAATGTCTTTTTATATGTGAATGTTAACTTTTTAAAAAATTGTTTCACAAGTTTTTCTGTGTGCTGCAAATGTTTCAAATACACGTTTCATGGTTAAAAAGGTCAGTCACCTTATTGGGGGTGGTCTGGGGGCATCCTTCCAGACCTTTCCTGTGGATCTACGAGCATCTCATTTATGAGCCCCCTGCAACAGGACCAGTACGATATTACTCGGCTTCTTTTTTTCTACTTTACATTTTTCTGCATCAGTATGTTCTAATAACAGGTTCTTTTTAACTGTCTCGAAACCCTCAGTGGTATGGCTGCGCCTTCAGTTCTGCCAACTTGCTCTCCAGTGTCCACTCCCACCAGCTGCAGGGACACCCCAGTCCCACATCTTCTCCAACACCAGACGTTATCAGGTGCTGTGGATTGGCTCTTGAGTGTCCCCCAAGGGCCCACATGTTAAAGGCTTGGTCCCCAGGTTGGTGCTCTTGGGAGGTGAGGGGGCCCAGTGAGAGGTCTGGGGTCACTGGAGGTGTGCCTCACAGGGGACTGGGCCCCACCCCTCTCTTTTCTGCTCTCTGGCACAAGGTGACCATAGGCCCCTGCCTCGCCACAGGCCCAGAAGCAATGGCATCTATAAAGCCAGGAACCGAAATCTCTGAAATTCTGTGAGCCAAAATAAGCCTTTTTTGTTTTGTTTTTTGTTTTGGTACCAGGGACTGAACCCGAGGGCACTTTAGCACTGAGCCCCATCCGTGGCCCTTTTAATTTGACAGAGGGTCTCCCCATGCTGCCGGCCCGCCTTGGCCCCTCGAGTTGCCAGGATC